GTAATCTTGAAGGCAACTAATCTTAGTTTAGTCTCTGTGTGCTGAGGAATCAAGGCAATGTATCACAGCTTTATTTTGTAGGTTTTTAAAACCATAAATTAGTTTCTTTATAAAACCCTCTGTAAAGGTGTAAAAGAAAAGGAAATTATAACCCATTTTTTCAACCTGTCTGACAAGTACAAGCTACTAGATTTCAACCCTTAATTGAATTTTTGGCACCTTCCTACGCCGAGTCCAGGTCTCGCTGTTTCAAAATCCGTGGTACCTCATGTCTGTGAACTCACTTGGAGTTTGTTGATAGGATATCTCAAAATATCTCAGCTTACAGAGAGCGCCTGCCCCTTCTGCATTTTACTGGAACCGAATAGTTCAGAGTTTGTGGGTGTGAGGGGGCGAATTTGTTCTGCTTCCTCTTAGTCATCCCAGCCTTATGCCGGGGAGAGGCAGGAGCTGGAGAAGCAGTCCTGTATTTATCAGATGGATGTTTTTCCTCAGCCATCACAAGGATGGGTGTCCCTTGTGCCCATGCACATCTGGGCTGGCCCCAGGGCAGGCGAGCAGCAGCCCTGAGCTGGTTGTGGCCACTTGGGGAAATGTGCTGGGCTGACTTTTGGGGCTGGTGATATCTTTGCAGGTGTTTTCTGAAATGCTGAATTAAAAAGTTTCCTGGGAATTGAACCAGGTCTGACCTCAATGCCAGTACCTGTTGAAGGATGGAGATCTGGAATTTTGTTTGTTTTAGTGTTCCATCACTGCTTTTTTCCCCTGAGAACAGTTGCAAGCCAGAACAAAACTGATATGCTCTGACAAACCTCTGTAGCAAGTGAGGATTTGTGATACACAACTGATTTTCTAGAAGAGGCTGTAGCAAGGAGAAATTGTTTGCACTGATTCCTTGATTGCCTGGTAGGAGAAAGGTGTTTGTACATCAATTACTGAAATCAAACAAAACTCAGAATCTGTCTGACACACCCTCAAATGAGAAGTTCATAACTTTGGCTTTAATTACTGTATGGCTGAGGAGTGCACACATTTTTAACAGCTTTTTTAAAAATTCTTGTATTTAGCCAGTGAAAGCAAAACATACACAGTAACATTTGAAACTGATGATTGTTGATTTTTAAACATTGTTCAGTGGGGACATTGACTCCTTTCCCACTGCTGCAGGATTATTTAACCAGATTGCATTGATGCAGATCAGCAGTGACAGACTGTACTGGGGATGTCTGAGGAAGACAGAAAAGACTGACTAAAATTTTGATGATACTCCTAGGGACTGTTTAAGTTCCTGGATGTGCATTACATAATGTTCAGCTTCATTTGCTTCACTTGAAGTGCGTTTGTGAGTGGGGTCCAGGCAATTTAAAGATGCTCTCAGTGCTGCTGCAGTGACAATCCAGGGTGTGGGCTCTGACTGGAGGGAGATTGCTGAGAAGGAAGATGCTGCTCCAGAATCAGTCCCAGCTCTTGGTGGAACCCAGCCCTCCTGCCTGAGGAAGCACAGACCCCAAAGTAATCCAGCCTGCAGCCAGGCAGGATCAGAGGAGCAGGAGCTGCTCTGGCTGGAATGATAATTAAGAGCTGGATTCCCAGTTGTCAGCAGAGCCGTGTGAGCGGGAGCCAGAAGTGTGAGAGGAATTGAACTGAGGAATTTACCACAGACGTTTCCCATTAGATGGATGAGATGAGACCATTTTCACACTGGCTGGCAAGGATTGATCTGTGGTGTTTTACAGCCTCCTCCCCACTGATCAGCACCCACAGATCTTTGCTTTAAAGCACCTTCCCTTGCATTGGACTCATTCATTTATTTTTGTATTTTCACTTTGGAGAGCATTGCCAGCAAAGGAGCTGATAAATTCTCTGCCTGTATCCATGTGTTCATTCCTGCCTCCCTATCTTCCTTTTCCCTTGGTGTCTGTATGAGGAACTTCACTGTGAACTTCATTAGAAAGCCTCTCTAGACTAAAATGATATGGGAGGGCTGGGGAGGAAATCAAAATTGTTTGGGTTTAATTCATTCCTACTGGGAGCTTCTATTCTGCACAGTTCGGCCTCTTGTGTTGCCATCAGTGGGATTTGGCTTGTAGTTAAAAACATAAGTTTGGTACTTTGTCTTGTTAAGAGCATTTCAGTGTAAATTTTATTTGTCTCCATCTATTTTCTGTCCAACTAAATAATGAAAAGTTATATAACATAATTACTTCACATGAGGAGCTTTTGGTGAGTGGTCACAAAGAAATATGATTTTGATTTGTATGTAATGTTGGGGTTCCAGCATTGTCTAATAACTAATATTTTATTACCTTTCAGACAGTCTGACCTGCATGTTAAACACTTAATTAAGATGTATAAATTTCTCCCCTCCTTCCCCTGTGCAATTATTTAAGCCTGTCTGGCAGTAGTACATAGGACAGAGATCAGTGATGGAGTTCTGAGCAGATGCCTCTGCAACTGCAAGGCTGGGGAACTTCCCTTTCTGAAAATTGCAGATTATTTCACATCTGTTTTAACCACGTCAGGTCTCCAAGTGAGCTCAAGCTGCTCTTGATCCAGGAGTGGAAAGCTTCAGCTCTCTGTGTAATTGCATCCACACTGAGCTGCACAACTTGTTTGTATAGATTAGAGTGGGAGAGCTCCCAAATTTGGGCTCATCCTCAACAAAAGCAAGATGAGCTCCTGGTTATCTATTTCCTGAGTGCCGTTTTTGGTGCCACTGTAGACCTGCGTGAGGCAGCTTTGTTAAGCTTTTCTTGCCTTGTGCAGCTTTTAGGATAAGAGAATAATACCTGTGCTCAGTCTATCACCGTGATGTGCTGGCTCAAGTCTTATGTAACTCTGGCAGAGGCATGCTCCAGGGCTTTTAAATAAAGAAATCTCCAATGCCCATGATCACAGAGAAATCCAGTTATTTTCTATAGCAGAAACCCTAATATCCTTAAGTCAATAATTTATAAATGGGTAGGTTAAAAAAAAAAGTACTGCTATTAAGCAGTTTTGTTGGGGAAGTTTGTGGCGTGTTGATAATGTTTGGGCTTATAAATAGTGTCTCAGTGTTCCTGAAATAAATAATGATGGTCAGACTGGTGTTTTGTGCTGGGTGGTTCTGTCAGTGCACTGGAACATGCAGGCAGAAGGATTAAAGCTGGTGCTTTAGGCTTCTATGAATTTTCTGTGCTGTTCCTAAATAGAATAAGAGCCTGCAGTGGACATTTTTGCTGTCTTACCAAGAATCAGAGGAAGATTGATCAAGTAATCCACAGAAGTGAAGTGATGCCACCACAGATAATTTATTGGAAATTTAGGAAGGGGAATATTTCTTACATATGTGGTAAGGAGATGAGGGGCAGGGGAGAGAGGCAAGGCTCTCCTTTTCCCCTGAACCATGTGGCATTGCTGCTCTGGCTCATCTCTTCAATTTTCTCAGTTCAGGACTGAACAAAAGGCTGATGGAGGCTGGGGGACAGGAGGAATCTTAACTAGTGCTGGCACCAGTGGCTGCCAAGGCACGTGTGTGTACCCTGTTGTTCTTTGTATTTTCTCAGCTATAAAATGCGAGTAATAACACTTAAATTATGGATCATTCAGCGCCGTGTGAGTGAATTAGATAATGCTACATAGGCCTTTGAAGATGAAATGCAGAATATAAATGTTGTGTAAAGCTCGCTTTGTGCCATGTCTATAAAACCTGGTAATGCAGCCCCAGGATTGCTGGGAAGCATAAGGAGAGGCACTTGGGCTGGCTGCATGCAAATTGATTCTGTGGAGCAGCAGCATTCACACAAATCTGGGCTGTGCTGACGAGCCCTGCAACCTGGCACAACAACTTGTAAACACTTGTGGATAAAGCTCTGAGCCTTGTCCTGTCCAGCCCCCTGCTTCAGGAGGATTTGCTCTGCTTGCCTTGGAGACAGAGAGGCAGAGGGAAGGAGCTGAAACAGGAGCTCTGGTGGTTGCTGTTTCTCACCCAAGGCTTGCAGCAGTAGTGGGTCGCATGCCAAGGTAGCAGAGAGTTTAAAGGGAAATAAAAATGGAAGGATGGAGTTACACATTCCCTGCTCCAGGAGCTGGAATTCTACTATCAGTAGTTGTGTGAGCTAAACTGGGGTAGAGTGAGAACTGTTGCTTACCCCAGAGCATTTCAGCAGAGCTTGGGGGGTGGATTAGTCAGAAGCATCACCCTTTTTTAAATTTAGTTTCCTTCCTTATTCCCACTGTTGGATCTTTCTCACTGTACAGTGCCTTTATCCTCTGAGCGGGGGTTGACTCCCAGCTAGCAGAGCTACCCAACTTCTCACTGTTATTTACTAACAAAAGGGGTTTATTTGGTAACTAAGGCATGATTGATATATTTTTTCCTTTCAAAGAATGTTTGGCTGCTTGCCACATGTCTTGCAACTGAGCAACATCACGGAACAGTAACTTTGTCATGGAGCTCTCTTGCAATGTTTGAAGCACATGTCTTGCAACTGAGCAACATCACGGAACAGTAACTTTGTCATGGGTGTTGGGGAGCTCTCTGGCAGTGTTTGAAAAAGTTTTACATGTTGGGGGCTTCAAGTGACTTAGATAAATAACTTCCATCTTACTAGAAGGTCAAATGAAAGAAACAGAAGATTTCTGTGTCTTCTTGGTGGAAAAGTGCAAAAACACAAACCAGTTCCAGGTCAGCACTGCTGAACAGCCCCAGTTCCAAAGGGAAGGAGGGAAGGGGTTGCTGTCTTTGGGGTCTTTTCTGTAGAAGCTGTGAGGGTTTTGTTGGTCTGGGGCTGGAAGATTTCACAAACATACCATTACATAAGGGAGGAGGTTGCTTTTGTGTGAAAATACATCATTGCTTCTGTTTTAATAGTGTCTCCTCCCAGTAACTGCATTGTGCATTGAACTCTAGGCATGTTCTTCCCCCATAGTTAAAACTAAAAAGTTGACTGTTTTTCTTTCTCTCAAGTTGAATTTTATATTATCCAACAATTTTATTTTGTCTCAAATTTACCTTGCAGACCTTAAAATCTCAAGTCATGTATTTCCTTGGGCTGCTGTCTCTGCTCGCTTTGCAAAGCGAAGCCTTCAAGACCAACATTCCTGATGAAACCATTGCTGAGCTGTCTGTGAACGTTTACAACCAGCTGCGAGCCAGCAGGGAGGATGAGAACATCCTGTTCTCCCCTCTGAGCATTGCCATAGCCATGGGCATGGTGGAGCTGGGAGCCCATGGAACCACCTTGAAGGAAATCCGGCATTCCATGGGCTTTGACAGCTTGAAAAACGGTGAGGCCTTTTCTTCTTTTTGTCTTAGAGAAAAAGGAACAAGGGTGGGAACAGCCTACTGATGTTCATGGGTTGTAAATCACTGGATTTCTTGGTGGCTTTGATGGGCAGGCTCAAAAGTGTGGGTTCTGCATGAGCTGAGAGGTGCTGACATAAAATCCTGGCTGAGGTACCTGACCCTTCCAACAACTGCAGCACATCTTGGTTTCTGCTCCAAAATAAACTTGCCTAGGCCTCTAGAAAGGGAAGATTTTTAGGAACATCCTTTTGAGGGATTGTAGTGAAAGCTGGTAAGGAAAGCAGTAGTTTCAGCAAAATTCCTTCTATTTATATCCAAGTAACTGCTTTGAAACCTGAATAAAATTTCTTACTCGTGCCATGTGCTGGACTTTGGAATCTTCAGTGGAAGGATCTTGGGGAGGAATTTCTGAACACAGACATCAAGCTGTGTTTGTCAGAGCCACTGCCGAGCTGATGGCTCTCTGTGGAGGCTGCAGCACCAATTGAATTCTATATTTTGTCTCTAAAACAATAATCAATTATCCCTTAGCTTAATGGAGGGAGTTGTGCAATTGGTTTTTCCTGGGCTGCTCACTATTCTAGGATATGAGTGGCATTCAGTGAAAGTGTTCCCATGATTTCTGCTTAGTGCATCATTGCCATCAGTTTTAAGGTTTATTTTGTTGGGTTTTAAATTAAAAATTTCACCTTTAGGCATATGGTGCAGCTTCCTGTTTTAAAGCAGACTGCTTTAATCCTGTTCAGGATTCCTCATTACCTGCCAAGGATGCTCTGCTGCCCCACTGAGGATCCTGGGAAATTCTAGACCTGCTTCTGGCATAGAAGAGGCTGTGGAGGTCCTTAGTTTCAAGATTTTGAGTTCATTTTTCAATTAAACAACTGGCATTTAAGATGGAACAAAAGTTCTGTTAAGAATTTCTGGTGGCAAGATTTAGAAATGGAACATGTAAGAAGAATTTTTTAATTGTTCTTTTGGTGTAGAAAAGATTTCCATTGATAGCTTTGCTTCTGGTGGGACTCATATGTGTCATTAATTAAACTAATTATACCTAGTAAAAAAAACCAGGCTCTAAGTACTAGATCTTGGAGATTATTCCTTCAGATCTGAAGGTGTGTGCAGGTTTAGGAACAAGTTTGTTTAAAAAAGATGGCTTTCCTTTGCATCAAACATTTTGGTGAATTTTCAGCAGAAAAGCCATGGAATAATTTTCCTTTCTGAACCACTGAAGGTGTTTTTCCTTCCCCAGGTGAAGAGTTTGCCTTCCTGAAGGAGCTTTCTGACATGGCAACTGCTGAAGAAAGTCACTACGTGCTGGACATCGCCAACTCCCTCTACGTGCAGAATGGGTTCCATGTCAGTGACAAATTCCTGCAGCTGGTGAAAAAATACTTTAAAGCTGAAGTAGAGAATGTAGATTTCAGCCAAAGTGCAGCTGTTGCTACTCAGATCAATAAATGGGTGGAGAATCACACAAATAGTAAGTGCATGTGATCCTTTTGTGCACTTCCTGCCCGAAGTGTTTCTGCTTCCAGACTTGTGCAGTGGTGTTGGGTTGGTGCTTTGGCTTTTATCTGTTCTGTCTGAGACTCAAGTGTCTCCTCCCAGGAGAAGAATTCTAGTATTTCTATTTTTTCCTGTGTAGGAATGATCTGTCATAAGTAATATTAGTCATTGTTAATCATGTGGCAGCTATTTGAATATTTGTTCTCTGGTCTTACCATCTGTAACATTTATTGAATGAGACTCTTTTAATGTGAGGCATTTTAATAGTATTTAATTTTTTTTTTTTTGCAAAAGTATTACTGCTAGTGGCAGAAAAGTTGCCTGCAGAGGGGTTATTGGCTTGTGCTTTGGGTATGTGGAGTATCACTCCTCCTCTGAGGAGCTCATACTCACAAGGTACTGAGAAATAGAATAGTGGGGAATAAAAAGCTAATTTTGAACCACAAAATCAGAGTGTATAATGTAATATTTTGCAGCGTGAGGAAACGAGATAGCATGTTGAGAGGGTAGCTGATTTTAGGAACGCTGTCAACAGTTTCACAACACAAATTTGCAGCAGGGGAGTTAAGCACAAAATTACTGTTGTAAATATGCACATTGAGAGCTGCAGGATGCTGCTTGGCTTGGCAGCTCCCAGAGAGGTGGCATTTCCTGGATCCATGCAGAGTCCCAATATCTGGGAGTCTCCTGGTGTGGGGATCAAAGCATGTTCTCATTCTGGTTCCCCTGGCCCACTCTGAAGGTTGAGATTTTGGGAGTAATTCAGGGAGGTCTGGCTCTGACACAGTTGTACCACTGGGAATTTAGAGGGATTGGAATCACCTGGAAGGAATTAACACATCCCCATGAAGTCTGAGCACTTAATCCATAATTCCTTCTGGAAAAGCACAGCTCCAAAGTGGAAAAGCACCTTCTGTAATGCTTTTATTCCCTTTTGAAAGCGGTCTGGCTTGTTCCAAGGGAGCACAGCAGCCATTCTGTTCCTAACAAACTGCCCTTCCTCTCAGGCTGCGGAAATAGCTGGGTGGAAGTGCTGCAGCAGATTGCAGAGGGTTTCCATGGATGTGGTGTCTGTCAGAGGGAAAAGGAAAAGCAGGGCCCACCAGGGCAGCTGGGGGGCTCTTGGTGTCAGGTTGGGATGGTTCCAGTCCCTCTGCTGGTCCCCTTCTCTCTGATTTCCCCCTTGGGAAAGGGGCACAGCACAGGCAGGCTTCAGCTCCAGCCTGTTCAGCATGTTGGGAGGCTCAGAGCAGAAAACAGAACCATCAAAGGTTCCTCTGGGCAGGAAAATTCTTAACATCTCATTAATGTATTAACAAGATGTGGCTGGAAAAACAAAGAAATATGAGTACCAAATAGAAATTTGGAAATGTTTTCCTTCTTAGTTTTCCTTTTGTTTTTTTTTCCATCTCCAAGTGAGTATTGGCCACACCTCCCTCCTTAGAACATTCAAGATAAAATGAAGTACAAACAGCAACCCGGAAGAAATCCAGCCCTGTGATACACAAATTTCACACCAGTTAGTCAGGATCATATGCTCCAGAAAGCAGAATTAATTTGTTTTTTAAACCATGGATTAAGAAGTAATAATCAGATGGAGGAATGTGTTTATTTTAACACTTTGCATTGCAATGTCAGCTAAAAATAGAAGTGAGCAAGAAAGCCATCTGAAGGAGGCTGTAATTCCTGAAGAACAGTGGCAGATCTGGTCAGTGCACCCAGTTTACCAAACTGGGAATGATTATGGTGAAATCCAAGGCGTTTGAGATGAGCTCCAGCAGGTACCAGACTGCATTGTGATGTAAATGACTTATTCAGGAGTAGGAGCAAAGCAGCTGCCATGCTCAGCTGCTGTACCTCCCATGAATAGAGCAGATGCTAGATGGTTTTCCTCTTTTGCTTTTCAAGAGCTAATGCCACTGGAACAAATGCTGGGAATTTATGTGGATTTTTGGTGCTTAGTCCTGGCTTTGAATTCAACAGAAGATCACTGGAGCTCCTTCAGAACTGGCCCAGGTGAAGCTACAATGGGTGCTCTTAGCCCCTTTAAATCAAGCACCCATTTAAGTGCTTCTTTGGATTGGAACCAAAGTTTGTACAAGTTCTGACCTTAAGATGGAGGTGCTGAACTGTTTCATAGCAGCAGGGTGAACATTCCAAATGTGACCCTTTCTCCACGTGGCTTCCTTGTAGGGTACATTTAGTAGTGATCAAGAAACAGTTGCCTAACATGTCCTTGATGGAAGGGTTTACACACCTACACTGTGATTTAGGTTTACAAAACACTGGCACTTTAATTGGAGATTTAATGAAACATCTGAATTGGAAATTACATGTTAACACTGCTTTTTATTTTCTTGCATTTTTCAAGCTGCCTTAAGTTTGGATTTAATGCTCACTTTGACACGCAGACTGACAGCTGGGTTTCTTTTTAGGTATGATCAAAGATTTTGTGTCTTCAAGAGACTTTGGTGCTCTAACTCATTTGGCTCTCATCAATGCAATCTACTTTAAAGGCAACTGGAAGTCACAGTTCAGGCCTGAAAATACCAGAACTTTTTCTTTCACTAAAGATGATGAAAGTGAAGTGCAAATTCCAATGATGTACCAACAGGGAGAGTTCTACTACGGTGAGTTAGACCTTCAGCAATTTAGAGCTACTAAATCTTCACTTAATGGGTTTGTTGCAGTAATATCCATTTGTATTGTTGTCTTTTCTCCCACCTAGAATTTTTAATGTGCTGTTTGCCCAAAGAAGGGACTCAGAGTTTGTTTTTTTCCTCCTAATGTGTGCATTATAACTGGTAGCAACATTTATAATGACTTGCTTGGTGCCACAGGGTGGATTTCAGAATGTTTATCCATTGGATTTAAGTTCTTTGCAATTCTTGAGCTAGTTCTGCTTATCACAAAAATATTTTTCTTGTGCTGTGCTAAACATTCAAATGAGTAATGTTTGCTCTTTACTGTTGGACTGGTATAATAGAGGTTCTTTGAACTGCAGAACTAATGATCATTTTTAGTTGGAGCTTGAGCTCCAAGTGGGTTCTGACATGTCTGGCAGCATTTTGCTCAGTCTCATCACTGAAAAATCCTCTCTCCTGAATAAAAAACTCTGCCCATTTCCCTGAAAGTCTCAGCAGCCTTAAATTTTAGGCTCTTCTCTGCCTAACCACTGAAAGTTATGTCCCAGAAGTGTGATTATCTACAAACAGTGTGATAGCTTGAGCTTGTATTCTTTAAGAAATCAAATGTAGGCCTGAAATTCTGTGATGAAGGAACCAATTTTGTATAAAATTTTATATACAATGAAGAGGGTCATTTTAAGTTCCAGTATCTAGTAAATACACAAAAGACAAAGGAAAATATTTCTAATGGGAGTTTTGTTTTCCTCCTCTAGGAGAGTTCAGTGATGGCTCCAACGAAGCAGGAGGGATCTACCAGGTCCTGGAAATCCCCTATGAGGGGGATGAGATCAGCATGATGATTGTCCTTTCCAGGCAGGAGGTTCCCCTGGCCACACTGGAGCCCCTGGTCAAGGCCTCCTTGATTAATGAATGGGCTAACTCTGTGAAGAAGCAAAAAGTGGAGGTGTATTTGCCAAGGTGAGAGCGTGCTCCCAGGTCCTGGAAGGGGGAATTGCATCCCCACTGGTGGAGGAGCAGGGTAGGGAGCCCTTGAACTGTCCTGCTCGAGCCTGGAGTGATGCAGCAGCCACAGGAGGGTGGGTCTGGGCATGCAGGGCAGGGTGAGGGTTGTTTTAGCAGTTGCATCCCTTTCAGAGAGAGGAGAGCTCTCCAGAAAAGAGAGTTCCCTCATCAGGAGCACATCCACCCAGAATGATGCTGAGAGTCGTGCAGAGCTCATTATGGACGAGTTCCATTTAGACAGGAGCCACAGAAATATTGGAAGTCTGAGCTACCAAATGTTTCATTTAGGTGTTAATTAGGTTTCTATGTGGTGTTATTTTCAGAACTTCTAGTGGTGTGTGTCTGTGCAGATACCAATATTGAGTGTTGAGGGGTAATTCCAGTCAATTTTGGTTTTTTTCCCAGCTGTAAGAAGTGCTGCTTTTCCTCCTTAGAGCAGCAAAGAATAACAAGACATCAGTACCAGAAAGGCTGAAATTTGTGTCAGTCCATTTGCAGACACAGGCTGTGTGCTCAGGGTAGATTTGCCCACATAGACCATTTGGGTCTTTCCTGGAATCCTACTTCATCCACCTTCAGATATTTCTGCTGCCTGTGCTCTGCCTGGCTTGGTAACAGAGTTGTTTACTACTAAATGTCACTAATAATGTACAGCTGGATCACACTGTCCTTCAAGTGATTCATGATGATTTCATGGAAGTGTTTATGTAACAATAGAGCCCATCTCTGAGAGGAATCACTTCCACTTCTTCTATTTTTGTGGCACTGTGCAGTGGGTACGTGGCTGCAGAAAAAATAAACTCGAGCGAATCCTTAAATCATTAAAACAGTTCTTTGATTTCAGGTGACTTGGAGATCTGAGCTTGTTCCATTTCACAGGTTCAGGCTCCCTGAGCTCCCTTCCAAAGCAGAGACCACTGTCCTGGAGCTGAGCACAATAAACAAGGCCAGCCAGGATAAATCAGGTTGAGATGGACTGGTGCTGTCAGCATGCCCTGATCCCAAGCTGAGATGGAATCCACTTCTCTGTGGAGCTTAAGGGCAGAGTGCTGAGGGTCCAGCAGCTTTCTGGGGCTGGTTTTCAGTCCCCTTAGTAAGAGTTTCTCTCTGATTTTAAGCCCCAGTTCCTCTGAGGAAGCAGGAGGAGCAGCAAAGAGCTGCATTGCAGGTTTTACACAGACTGAACCTGCTGCACTCTGTTCCTGGGATTTGTTTCTTGTTTGTTTTCTCTTGGAGCTTCAGGTCCCAGAGGTCTCAAAGTCCACTAAGACACATGGGAGGGGATTTTTTTCTCTTAGGCTGCTTTTCCTAGGTGTGAATGAGAAGAGAAATCTGAGGATTCTTCCATCCTTAGGCTTTCCTCCTGTACCTGGGACAGCAGCCTGTGCACCAAGTGCTGAAGTTGGGCATTTTTCTCTCCAAGAATTTCTGGAGTGGGAGATCCACAACAGGTTATGGAGATCCTCCATTGATTATGGAGAAAATCTGTAAAAACCAGCTTCCATATTGAAGTATCTTGGGTATCTGATCACATGAATGGCATTGAAAACATATTAATTATGTTTATGACTTGGATTCGGTTTGTATTGGTGATCTGGGGTTTTGTTTGCAGACACTCCAGGGTTCTCTGGAGCCAGGTTCTCACATGGGAACTTGAGGCCTGGGGTTTGTGTGATCATAAAATGTCCTTATTTATTCTGCCTTCAGGCTGCTTGGCTCTTATCCAAGCACCTCAAAGAATGGGATAAACACCTGCAAACTCAGGTTATACAGTGGCAAACACGTGCTAATCACCCTCAGTGTTTTCAGACTACAAAAGATAACTATCCTGGGCCCGCCCGGAATTCTGTGTAGGAATTCTGCAGTCTCCTTACAAAAAATCCTGAAATTAATTGCATGCTCCCAAGGTGTTGGATTTCCATTAGGGATTCAGAGGTGATCTACAGGATTTTGTCAATGCTCTAAATAAACACTTCATAAATATTTGATGCTGTGACTCAGAAAGGCATGTTATGAAATGTGGCCTCCAGGCTCTGTCCACTGAGAAATTGAAAGCAGCACTGGAATAAAATTAAATTTTTATATCTTGAGAGATGCTATCCAATTATAAAGTGAACATTTTTTAAACTTATACATTTGTAATGGGACTGAATGACTTGCCAAAGCAGAGTTAATCACAACTTTGCAATTTCTGTCTGCATTATCTGTGTGCAAATGAAATTGTGTATTATTCCTCTTAATGGCAAAGGAGAGATTTGTACAGAATGGTTAAATTACACTTCCTCATTTTCATTTCCAAATCATTGTTTCCAGCTTAACCCAGACTAAAATGATCAACATTTTAATCCACTTTTTTGCATAGGAGTGAAACAGACCATGAATCTAATTTACAAAGCTGTCTCTCCAACATAAATTACTTGAAGAGCATGGGAGGAACTGGTACCTAATAGTGGTGCTACTGTTTGCAGATCCTCTCTTCAGGATTGTTTCAGTGTGCCCAAATCTCTGTAACCTTTTTTGTGTATTTAAAATAGCTTTAAAATCTTTAGATGGTGCCAGAATGATAAGTGGTGTTAGCTGAAGGTTGTTCTCTTTAAAAGAAAAAACGGCAAGCACAAAAACCATCCCACAAAACCCAATAAAAATCCAAAAAATAAAAAGCAAAATGAAAAAAAAAAGTTTTTGAGATTTCTGGTTTTACTTTTTAACCTGCTGTCTCAAGTCCCCTTTTGGTGAGGAATGGGCCAGTGCTGGTTGTCCTTGAGACACAAGCACAGAAGAGGCACAAAACTCCACTGGAACACAAGTCCTGCACATTCAGCCCTGGAAGGAAGCATCTTCCCAGAGAAAAACCCACAACCTGCTTTGCTTCCCCTGCAGCTGAATGGGGTGTTTTTTGCCTGGTTTTGCTGTTAGTGGGGTTTTTCTGTTCTCTGGCTTGTTTGTTTTCAGTGTATTAAATCCTGGAGGCTGCTCTAGCACCTGGGGACAAGCTGGCTGAAATTCCAGCCAGGATGCTGGAACTGATAGCAGCTGGCACTGCAGCCTGGGTGCCAACAGTGCCTCAGTCCCCAGGGCCTGTTCTCCAAGTGATGCCTCAGGTTTTGGCTTTTCTAAGTTTCACATTCTGTGCTGCTTTAGTGTGCAGTTCTGAGCTTCACATCAGGGCATGGGGAGCTCTCTGCACAGAGCAGAGACACAAAACAATTCCTGCTCCAGCTGGGCACCAAGGACAAATGATCCCAATCTCAGCCCAGGAGCACAAAGCCCGTGGGCTGCAGAGAGAAAAACAAGCAGGGTGGGACTGCAGGGGCTGCAGTGGGATTGGACACTGAACTGCAATGTGCACATGGAGCAGAGCTGAGCCCAGGGAGAGACCCCGGCAGCGCTCGTGCATTTTGGGGCCATTTGGGTTCATCCTGGGTGCAGCCCTGGCTGGGCTCTGGTGCTGCCCAAGGTGCATCCATGGAGGAGATCCTTGAATCAATCCCTCCTTTATTCTGGAACTCTGGCCAGCCTCTGCTCTAGGGCAGCCTGCACAAGGCATCACCAGCAGGAATATTGATGTCAGGCACTGCAGCCATTCCTCTGCCTGTCCTGCAGGATTGCTCCCATAGAACCAATCTGAAAACCTGGAGCTGTCTTGCTTTGGCTCACTCAGAACCCTCAGGAATTTTTGAAATGATGGCGTTTGGGATGAATCACTCCAGGCTGCAGTTCCCTTCTCCTGCATGAGTAGACCTTATACCTTCATCCTCCTTGGCTCTTAAGCACCTAAAAATCACAGAAAATTCAGGGTTGCATGACACTGTAGAGGATGAACACATCTTTTTCTCTTTCTTAAAAGGCTGTAAAATAGAAGAAAGATGGCCTGATATAGAATGTTAATGCTTAACTACAGAATGTCAGTGACATAAATGCATCATTTTATTCTAATGCTTGTGCAAGTTTTAAATTTCATAAAAATGTCCTGATTCTCTGCTGAAATCTCCAGAGACTTGCTGGTTTCTCTACTTAATCTTCTCTTCAGTGTCTGTTTCTTCGATTTCCCTTTGTGGTTTTTAAAGCTCTCAGTTGCTACTGTTCCATGATTTTTGATACTGAAGTATTTAAATCAGTATTTTCAGAGTATTTTTAGCATCAGGAGCACCTAAGAGATGGTGGAGGAAATAAAAAATGACCATCTGGTTCATGATATGCAACAAACAGTGCAAATAACCAAGTGTCAGTGTATGGTGGAGCTCAGCATTGCCAGAGTCTGGGAAATGAGCTGGAGTGTCAGTTCTGTGCTCTGGGTTGTCAGCTTTGATTTTGAATATCATCCTCACTGTCTGTGAGGAGTGCACAGAAATCCAAATCTGACTGAGGGGTAACTCCTGCTGCATGTTTATGTTGAACTGCAGAGCCTGAAATTAAATTTCAGCCTGTGGAAGCTGCCCTGTTGCTTTTGAGAAAAGGCTGGTCCTGATGTCAGCTGAAAGATTGGAAATCTCATTAATAATTGATCTGTAACTCTCCCTGCTTTTCAGAGCATGTGAGCAAAGAGGGGAGGTCTCTTTGGAGTGGGGTTTTAGCACAAGACAAAACTCCAGGAAGGGAAGTAATGAGGTTTGTTTTCCTGAAGGGATCATTTGATATTTGTACAGCTGATGTGGTGTTTTTGGTCTGTTTTGTTGGTCACAAAAAGCAGGAGCTCACCTCTGTAGATGCTGGGCAGCCCCTCACTCTTCCAGCTGCTCAGGATTTGCCTTTCCAGAGCTTCCAGGCAGGGATGGAGCCTCCATCTCCAGTGGCTCTGCTGTCCTTCCCCCAGGCATTCCTTGCATTATAACCCATCTGTTTGCTTTCCCTTTCCTCAGATCCATGCTCAGTGAGCCTTTCCAGGTTTATCTTTTCCCTGAACCTCTCCCAAGGCTTCCTCTTGCTCAGTGAGCAGCAGCATCCTGTGCCACAGCTGCTTTCTGGGTCAGTTGCATCTCTGAGCAGATGGGTCTTTGCTGTCTAATGGTCCAGAGACTTAAACCCACCTCATTTCCATTTCTGTCTTATTCTTACTCTGCACTTGGAAAAAGATGCTTTTTTGCAGTTATTGTTCTTATTTTTCACCTCAAAGTTTGCTTTCCATGCAGACTGTACTTGCTGCTTTCTTATCCTGATATTCCTTATAAATTTGATGCTGCTGGTTCCTACCTAAATAGAGTTGAAACCCTGATGCATTTAATGTTGGGGTGAAATAAAAACCACAAAGGGAAACAGCACTGAAACTCTCATAACGTGTATTTTTAACAATCATTTGTATTCTCTGTAAAGTAGGTGCAGTTGGAAGTGATTTTCAGAATGTTTTAATGTAAATATAGTATAGAAGGAAATATTTTTGAGTTTATTTTGTGTGGAATTCTTTAACGTGCACAGAGAGGACCTCTGGACTGGACTAACTCTTGCACTGGGAATCAAATCTCAACTCATCTTTTTTAAGGTTTTTACCAAAGCCTCTAAAGTTGTTGTGGACATGTTTTACAAGAGTGTTATGAGAGTGGAAGTGTTTTACTTTTGGAGCCTAAAGGTCAGGGAAATTTGATTGAATGAGCAACTTGTAGAGTTGTTACCACAGTAACTGATGCAGAATCTGCCAGAACACCATGAGAAGCTTCTTCAGTACTTGCAAGTTTTGTTGGTCTCTTCTGATTCTTTTGAGAACTTGCAAGGCAGTAAAACCACAAGAATCATTTCCTGTGGTTTCGTTCCATGCATGCCCTGGAGTTGGTCTGGACAGAGTGCATGGACACTCCTGGTGCCACCAGTGATTTATCAGTGCTGAGCTATCTCCAGATCCTATTTTAAGCCCTAAAATCATTCTCTGAATAATGATAATTCTGGATGATATCCATTCCACCCCAGATTTTTGGCTTCTAGTGGCATTTCTAAGTTCATTATGAAAGTAGATTATGTACTGGATATTTTTCAGGTTTGTGTAAGTGAGGAAGATCCACTTGACTGTTAGCCAGTTCTGTTTGATGTCCAGATGATTCTTTTTCAAGCTGCCAAGGCTGGTGCATGCCAAGGTGTTGGACATCTCATCTCTCCATCAGCTGTGCCCTGCCCACAGCTCTGGGCCAGACTTTCCCTAGAAAAGAACACGTTGTTCTTCCATGGAGCTGGGGAGTTCAGTCCCAAAGAAGGAGATTGCCCACAAGCACATTTATTTGGTTCTAGCACTTCTGTGCCCCATCACCAAGGACTGAGCTGTGGCTGGGTCTGACTCAGTGGCTGCAGAAACCAGAACAAACCAGAGCAGCCTCCCACAGACCATGCTTTGTGCTGGGCAGCTCCAGCCAGCACGTTGTAAATCACAAATAATTCATTGCTCAGTCTCCAGAGCACCCAGAACTCACCCCTCACAAGGATTTTAGTCACTCTCCCGTGTCAGCCTCTACACATCTGGTATTTTCTGCTCGGGGCTGCCATTACTAATGTTTTTCTGCCACGTTTCTGTGTTTCTCCAGCTGTCCAGTCTCAGTCTGGCCATGCATAAAGGTCTTTTCTTTTTTGTTCTACTGACACTTTTACAATGTTTGAAAATCAGCTTGTAAATGGAACAAGCTTTTGCTTGTTTTCCACTGTCCCAGGTTGCCCAAAATGTTGCCCTCAGGACAGATCTCAGTTTGTCCTTCCAGCACACTAATCCAGCTTTTGCCAGGTTACCCTCAGTGCATTTACACTAACAACTATTTGTTTTCCCTCCTCTTTACTCACAATCAAAACCCAATTACAGTTGTGCCACCACACTAATTAGAAGCTGAATCAGCAGTGCTTTATATTCATATTCATAGCTGTTCTTTCTTATATTATCAAAGTGAAAATGGAGCATGTATCTTACTCCTCCTTTGCCAGCAGCTCTCTGGGAAGTTCTGCTGTCCTTTGCCTCATTTAATATTCTGTTCTGGTATCTGCACAATTAAATTCAGGTTTTAGAGAAAACCTCTTGTGTAAAAAGTAAGCATTTCCATTAGCTGCTGCATAATTTTGCTCTGCAGTTTTATGGGCAGGGGGCTGCACATACCATTAGCATATTTTTGATTGCTTCTGTATTAGGAAAAATCCAGCTGTGAGTAAACTCATTTGTTTATAAGCATTTTTTGGAAGGTGTCACTAGCACTGGATCTCCTACTTTGCATTATTTATCTTGGTGTTTTCACCTAGAAAATTTAATCTTCTAATAACAGTAAGTAGTGCTTACATCTGGCTTTTTGTAATGTTCTCTTCCATTCTCCAGGTTCACAGTAGAACAGGAAATTGATCTGAAGGATGTCTGGAGAGGTCTGGGAATTACAGAGCTGTTCAGCAGCAGTGCTGACCTCACTGCCATGTCTGGTAAGAACTTCTTGTCTTGTCTCTCAAGGTAGATGAGGAAATGCATTTTTCACCTGGGAAAGTTCACTCTGAGTGTTTCAGAACTGGGTCTCATCAGAGATGGAGACAAAGATCCCCTGCAAGAGGCAGATGCAGACTGGAGCAGTGCATGGCTGCAGTGCCTGGGTGGCAGGTGGGATTCACACCCCAGGGGGGTCACTCTGTGTCTCCAGTGCTCTTTGTCCCAGCATGAGGAGCACTGAGCTGTTGCACAGTTAATTCCTCTCCCCAGATACCTGCAAGCAGCACAGGAAGGAAGAGTTTGGAGAGAAAAGCAATTTAGTCACAAATATCACCTGCATTTGACAGAAGATGAAATACCCAATACCTTTAAAAATCCACGTGGAAGTGAGATATTTATGCTTTTAATACCTCCTGAAGCTGTTCATGGAGTCACAGCATGGTTTGGGTTGGAAGAGACCTTAAAGAACATTTCATTGCACCCCTGCCATGGCAGGGACAGCTCCCACTGTGCCAGGCTGCTCCCAGCCCCGTCCAGCCTGGCCTTGGGCACTGCCAGGGATCCAGGGGCAGCCACAGCTGCTCTGTACTGAGGTGGCACCTGTGTGATTTTGGGGTTTTTTCGGCTCCATGTGTTACTCCCCAGCCATCCAGCAGGTCCTTGGCTGGTGGCAAATCCCTGCTCTCCACAGTCTGACCCTGGGACAGTCACACCTCTGTGCCTTGGTCAAAGCACTGGCAATAATGCAAACCTTCCTCATTCCCAGGGGAATGTTTGTCATGTTCATGGCCTTTCATTTCTGCCAAGTTTGAAATATTCTTTATAGTCTGTCATGTAGCTTATTCCACTGGTTTGCCACCTTCACTTTTCCAGTGAAACTGAGGAAAAACTGGCTTTAGCTAATATGAAAAGGGTTGAAATAAATGAAAAACCCCTTCTTCAAAGAAACAGCATTTTTCTGAAGAAAAACACCTTCAATTTCTCTGCCAGCTCAAAGAAAAGTCAGCTTCCCTCTAAATTCTGGTCTATTTATAGGAAATTATTTACTTGAGAAAAAGCTCCAAGGAGAATGGAAAATGCACAGGGAACCACAAAGGCAGCACCTGGCTTTTATTTAGTTCCATGTAAAATTCATTTATATATCAGGGACATCTACTTTATCAAGAGGTTGGCAGCAAGAATCACGTGCTTGTGTCTTAATCCACGTGACTAATGATTTATTTAAAGTTTTGTATTTCTGACAATTGTACCATACAAAATCAAAACACCACGTTCTGCCTGACTGAATTAACTCCTCTGCCATTTAAAGATTTACTTGTTATTTAAGTATAGAGCAGTTTGTAGAGAAAATTCATGAGTGTTAGTGTAGCTTTTCTGCTTTTCACTGAAAATAGGTTGCTCCACCTGGGTATGAAAGTGTTATTTGTAAATTAAGAATGAAAAAATGGTTTTGAAGTAATGTCTTTAATGAAAACCCCACAGATGATGCTGTCTAAATGAAGTTTTAAGTAATTAAAGTACAAAATACTTGCCTTCTTTCAAATTTTCATCATTTAAAATATGGATAGAGGAAGGGGAAATAAGTAATGAAATCAAATTGTTGAAAGCTGACTTTTACAGACACCTGAATGGGAGATCAGGAAATGGAAGTTAGAAGTTTATGTGCATCTCAGGGTCACCCCTCTGGAAAATCTGGCACTTCATGAGGCCTTAAATGCAGATATTTCAACAAAATCTTTAACTGGACACTTAATTTAGGAAGCTATAAATCAACTTAAATAAATCAACTTAAATCTAAAGAGATTTTTGAGAAATTTTGTTGCATTTACAAATCCTCTCCTCCTGCTGTCCTGTTGCTCTGGCATTGCTGCCAGGAAAAGTCTCCTGCAATTTCAGCAGCAACCCAAATCCTGTCATCAGCTGCAGGCAGATTGGTGAGCTCAACAAAATTCTCTGTGGCTTTAGTGGATATAAACCACATTGCAGGATTATTATTCAATATTCAGAATTTTTTTTGCTGTTTCCCCTCAAACTGCAAAATAGACCCAGGAGGAGCAGCTTTAGCCTCTGGAATGTCTGGGCTCTGAGCAGCCAAAGGGAAGCGTTAATGCAGGTGCACTTTGCAAATGTTACTCCCTGGCAGAAATCAGGTTCTTTGACAATTGCCACAGGTGAGTAGGAGGACATTCCTGCTGGGCTGTCAGCTCCCCTGCTTTCTGACTCTCACTTTCAGAAAAGACTTTGACAGTATTTACTTGCGTCTGATTCCATCAGGTGTCCAAAATAATCTTGAAACAACCTCTGCTGTTTGAGATGTTGCCATTGTGACTTTATCACATCACATAAATTTGCTGCTTGAGTGTTTGAACACCACTGAAGACTTAGCATTGAACTAATTTCAGTGCTAAAACTCCCCTTCTCTTTCAAATGGTTATAATATTTCTGGCTGTTTTATAGAGCCTTAAAAGCAGCTGCTTTTAATGCAAGGTGACCTGGGTGAGCAATGAAGGGATCTCAGTGACTTCCTTCACAATATGAAGTAGTTAGAAGAGCATCAGTCCAGTAAATAACTCTTGGAAGTCTTGACTGACATCCATATCATTTTTCTGGGACAGCCTAAGCAAGAAGAGCCAATAAACCCACATGGTATTTTTTAAAAATGAGATTTGCAGAGCAGCCAGTTGGCAGCTGAGTGGGAGTTTGCAGACATATGGAGATAGTGACAAATGGAGTGTGGTGCCAGCAGAGTCGTGCTCATCAGGGGGCAGCTCCAGCTCCCTCCCACTCCCCAGGGGTCAGCCTTCCTGCACCGAGCTGAAACTTTGGCACCAGATCCCCAGGGGGCTTCCCTGAGATGTTCACAACCAAGCCAGGAAATCCAGGTTTTCTTATGGAAATGCACTTTTCAGAGGAGCTCCTGGAGAGAAATGAAGTGATGGGAGATGCTCAGGAGAGCCCCACCTTGTCCCCTGTGAAAGCCATGAGGGAATGTGGATAATCCACATGGATTATCCAGATGGAGCAGGGATGGGACAGTCCCAGCCTGGAGCAAGGGAAAGGCTGCCTGAACTCTCAGGGACAACATTATGCTTTCACAGGAAAATAGATTCATTCACTGCAGGGAGAGATGAATGAGAAGGATGTGATAGTAGCAATATAAAGAGAAGAATCTAGAGAAGGTAATTTGGGATGTGGAATTGCTCTTTTCATCATCCAAGGACAGAGATGTCCAATGAAGTGAAAGGCAACAAATGGAAAACAAATAGAAAGTGCTTCTCTCATGGAAAACTTAACCACGGGGATCTTTGCTGGATGTTCCTTGAGATTGGCAGGACTGAAAAAATGAAATTGCTCCAGAGCAATCAGAACTCTTTATACAGCACTGAAGAAAGGCACTCTCTGTATAGAAACTTGGGTTAGGGTATAAGGCACATGCTGCTGAGAGGATATTTTCATTTGTAAGTGTGCTGCAGTTTTCATTTTCAGGGCTTTTGTACCTTCTTGTGGAGCAGCAATTCCATAGCTGGTGCAGTGGGCTGGGCTGACTGGGTGTACTGGATCAGTGGCACTTTCTGTGTTCCTGTCAACTTAAAATGTTGGTTTTAATACTCAAATCCCAAAACCTTTCACAAGTAGCAACCTTTTATACCTGATGGCAAATGGTAGCAGTGTTTGTGCTCTCAGAATTAGGGGCTCTCAGGTGCAGACCAATCTTCTGAGGTGCTATTTCTCATCAGGAATACACCTTGGACTTCCATAAGCACCACCAAACTATGCAAAATAAAGCACTGGGAGCAAAAAATGGGGAATATTTTTGTGCGTATTACAGGGCACAGGATCAGGGTTCAGTACTGCAGTAAGAAAGAAGTGATTAAAATACATGATTAGGCTAAGTGGGTGATTCCCCACTTATTATGTTTTATTGAACATAAAAATGTGTTTGGATTTAAGATTTTTATTTAATGTTAAAGACAGGTGGGTGCTGCACGTGCCATGTTCTAAAGGAACAGGGTGGAAGCTCAGTCCCAGCTCTCAGGGCAGCCTTGCTGAAGGCTTGGGACTGAAGCCTAGACCTGGTACCAGTTTTGGCAGCCTGGTCTGTGTTTTACTGCACACAGTCCCTGAGGGGATGATTTGGGGCTTTTGTTGGTGTGATTGAAGTGCAGCAGCTGAACTGGGAGGTTTAATTCAGTGCTGAGTGTACAGAGCAGCAAATGAGCTCTGCTGGGGAAAGACTTTCCCAGCTGCTGCTCCTCCTGCCTTTGGCTTGCTGTGCTATTACAGCTACTGAGTATTCCAATGGAGCTGATCCTTCAGCATCCCACAAAAACCTGTGAGACATTCCCTGGCTTCAGCAGGCTGGGACTCAAATTAAAATATTGACAGAGAAGGATGGAACTGAAACAAGATTAAAAAAAACTAGCTCTGTGGTGGTTCTTGCAGTAAATGTTCCTCTTCAGCTTCTTGTAAATATAATAGAAGAAAGAAAATACCTCATTTTTCCTGGAGAAAGCCTGTGCAGAAATGAAATTTTTAATGCCTATAATGCCATGATCTTTTTTTCCCACTAATTGTATTTAAAATCTTGTGTCCAAGGGCTGTTTTTACCCTCTCTATATATATACTGTACTGGGCTCTGGGCAGTCCTGAGCTGTGTTAATATCCATGGTATAGGAGAGCACTACAAATCTGAGTGAGGTAAACAGTGGTGTTAATGGGTATTGGCAGAAGGTGTTTTAATGCAATAAAGTTCTTCTCCTTCCCTGCCTGCTGCAGAAGGTGGATAATGGTGTTGGGGTTTTGGCAGTGTTTGGGGTGGGTTCTTTAAATGCTTCCATCTTACTGTTGAGCCTCTTGAAATATGTTCCCCTTTCCTCTGCAGATAACAAGGAACTTTACCTTGCAAAGGCATTTCACAAGGCATTTCTAGAAGTTAATGAGGAAGGATCAGAAGCTGCTGCTGCCTCAGGTACCTGACTGAAAAGCAGAATTAAATCAAATGTCTGGGTATTCTGTGCTAATTAATTTTTTACAACTGATTTGCTGTACAGCCAGGAAAGCTGAATAGCAGCATGGAGACACAGCAGAGCAAGTGTGCTGCTTGCAGAAGAGAATTCTGAAAATCAGAAGTGTTGGCATTTTTGTAACATGTTTTACTAAGAGTTTTGAGCATCCTGTGAAAAATCTCTATTTTCTGATTGTCAGGAGAGTACAGTCTGCAATTTATGTTTCCTTCATGAAACTTGAGCATTCATCATTTTTCACCTGCTAATTGAGATGGTCAGAGGCATTTGATCCAGCAGAGTTAGAAGGAGATGAGGGTGGTTGTGGCAGCTGCATTTTAATAAACTCATGTCCAGAAAAACAAGGTGGGAAGTGCTGAATGCACAACCAGAGCTGTCCCCTGTCAGTGCTGGGGGCTGGTGCTTGGTTTACAGATTGTCACATGAAAATAAGTTACATTTGTTGCCCATATGTGTCATTAGGTGATTTCTAATTGCCTCTACTTTGCCAATCTTTGAGGAAAGCAAGAATTGCTTGCCAGGTCTGGGTTGAATTGTGCCCGGCTGTCTCTGTGGACATGCTGCAGTCTTTATGAACAGTAGAGTGAAAATTTAGAAGTAAATGAAACACTAGGAATTAGAAACAATATCCTGGAGAAATCCATGCACCTCCAAATAAAAATAACGGCCAAATTCTGCCTGATTCACAGCTAATTTTACCTTCAGCTCTGCAATATTTAAAAGTACCAGCCAAAAGCTGCAGGATCAGCCCATTTAATTTTTGCAATTTCCCTGGTTATTGAGGGCTCCCTTTCCCTCTGCACTGTGTGAAACAGGTGAGCAGAGCTGGTTGATGCAGTGCACTTCCCCCTGAGAGTGAGCAGGACTCACAACTCCTCTGAAGGTTCTGCCTCTTAAAATTTATATGCTGCTCCCTCAGCCTGGGAAATTGCAGCACTCTGCATTGTTAATCATCCTTAAAGCCAGAATAGGCAATTACTCTGCAGGTCTCTTTCCTTTTCAGTGAATATTTTCCTGCTGTTTTTGGTGTTGAGTGTGGGGCTTCAGGGGCTGCACAAAGTGAAGAGCAGGAGAAGGGGCAGAGCTGTTTGACAAGTTGCCTGTGTTCTGTTTCCTCCAGGAATGATTGCCATCAGCAGAATGGCAGTGCTCTATCCCCAGGTCATCGTGGACCATCCCTTCTTCTTTTTGGTCAGAAATAGAAGAACAGGTGAGAATGTTGCAGACTTATCTGAGTTTTTCACAGCACGTCCTCAAGCAGTCAAAGGAAAATTGCAAGTTTTGACCAATGGACTGGGCTTGTATTGTGGATTTCCCTTAGTTTGTTTTCACATACCCAATATTGAAAGACTCACCTTTTCCATGGGCCTGAATCTTTCTCCAGATAAAACACCAACATCTGACATAACCCTGAAAAACACTCGCAGAAAAGAAAAATTCACCATTTCTGTTGTGAGAACAGAGTGTTACTGCTCTGGGTATCCATAATCATTGCACTCCCTGAGAGCTTGGCTGCAGTCAGCCCAGTGAAATGTGTTCCCAGTACCAAATGATTTGCATAATGGAGGGACATTACAGCTGGGAATAATTCTGTTGTGCTCTCCAGTGGCAGGTGAGGGATGAGAGCAGCACTCACCAGCAAAAGGGGCAAGGATTAAGTAATTCCTGAGTCTGGTATTTGTAATTTGCTGTAATGATGTGGATGTGACTGGGTGATAAAACATTGCTGTGCACCCACAGGGTTTTTATGGATCTGCTTAGGGAGAGTCACTTGTGGAACTTCATTCCCACAAACTCCATCCCAGCTGAAAACAGGCCAGCAAGGCAGGATACCAACTCTTAGGGGATTTTTAACCATAATAAAATTCAATATTATTACTGTTGTAGACACATTAGACGGAAAATGTATGTGGAGAAGGGTGTCTGGCCTTTATTGCTACTCAATATCCAGAAATCTCCCCAAAAAGAAAAGCTCAAATCAGGACAGAGTGGGACTTGGTCGCTTTGGGGCAGTTCTTAAAATTGCAGAACCCTTGTTGCATGTAGAGAGAGGAGCTGCCAACAACTGTAGCTACAGCCTCAAAGCCTGTTACTAATGCAGAAATCTGGGGTTGGAAATCTTGAAAAACTGCTGTTGGTTGTCCTTCCTCTCCAGACAAGCCCAGGTGCTCAGGTTTGGTTGCTGTCTTCTCACAGGGCTCCTGAGCCTTTTCCTGTACCACGTCCTGAGACATTTGTTCCTGTAACAATCACACAGCACAGCCCTAGGGCTTATTGTTGGTATTCATCATCTGAAATCCTCAGCTTCTCCTGCTTCTGACACCTTTCCCTCCTCTCCCTTTCCCCACAGGCACCGTGTTGTTCATGGGAAGGGTAATGCACCCCGAGGCAATGAATTCCAGTGGCCACGACTTTGAAAAGCTTTAACTGCCACCAGCTACCAGAAGGAGGAGATAAGCACATAAAGTTTGAAGTTAATATATTTAAGGTTTGCTGTGTTTTCCCCCAAGACACTGTTTCAAAACGCTTTTGGATCTAACTGTGTGCAAGTCAGTTCCCAGAGGAAAGCTTACAGTATTAAAGTAATGGTTCTGTTTCTGTCATTGTGATTGCTGTGTCCTTAAAATAAAGTTGTGTACATGTCAACAATTGTTTCTTGTTCTAGTGAGTTGTAAAGCAGAAAACTGCAAATCCATTATTTGTAATTTTTTTACAGTCCAAAGACTGACTTGATCAATGAGCCAGGAGCAGATTGTGTGCAGCTCTGGAAAATGCAAATGGCAAAAGCTTGGTGGGCATTTCTAGAGCTGAAGAAGGCCCTGTGGACACTGTGATCTCACCTGTCCCTGGCAGAGCAGGCGCATCACAGCTGTGGTGCACTGCTCGAGCAGAGAAAACGGAGCCAGCTGAGCCCAGTGGATTTGATTCTTGCCTGTGGTAGACTTTGTGTGAACTGTCCCACGTGATTCCCAAGTGCTGCTTTTCTGGACGCTCCTGCATGTGGCTGCCACTGCCCCCCTAAGTGTTGATGCCAATAAAACCCGACCGATCGCATGGATGTCCGAGACCTGCCAGTGTAGAAAGCTCTGTGTGTGACTGAAGTAAAGGAGTTCACTAGTAATGCCATTTGTGTGGACATATTTTTTCTCCCCCCACAGCACTCTTCAGTGTCTCATTTCAGGGCTCTAGAATGTTCTTTCTCAAAAAACAAAAAAAAATCCCCACTCCAACTTGATTTTAAGTATCTGAAAATGTTCGGTTCATAAATAAATATCTAAAGGAACAACATCATCCTTTTAATTTCCTAACTTTTCCTTGAGAACAGACTGGCAGCGAGGAGAATGACACCTAGCACAAGGAAATATTAGCAGGGAAATTAGTTGCTGTTTCCATTTGGAAGAGGAGCAGTACCCACTGTCAGCAGAAAAACATGTAATTATTTCCTCCCTCATTGTGCAAAATGCAAAAAGAACAGGGGTTATTAAAAAGGTGAGAGAGAATAGGAGAAAAAGAGGGAGGAGCTCTTTTGAAACAGATCATAAATACAAACCTTTGGATAATAAATGGGTTTTTCTCAGTCAATAGGAGTTTTCTCTTTGGAATTCTATGGGAACAAATGCATTTTGGCTGAAGTGCAGTTACAGGCTTCCCTGGCAATCACTCACTTCAGAGCAGCAGAGATACTGCTCCCAAAGTTATTGATGCAAGGAGAACTTCCAAAATCTGACACATTGTTCACTCTTTCTCTACTGCTGGTGCAGCTCCTGCGGGTCAGACCAGGACGTGAGGGATGTTCTCTGTGCAGCCTGGGAATGCTCCCTTGGAAAAAAGGGCTTCGGAACACATTTCCAGCCCTGCCCCCTGGAATTGTTTCACAAATGGGGTTCCTGAGTGTGTTGCTGGTGCTTATTACCTTGCTGTATTATAGTCTGGACTTGGTAAGGCAGCTTTTGTATTCAAATTTAGATGAAAATGGTAATTTTAGCTTTGTGTAGCTAAAAGTGTTGTGCTGGGGAGGGAAAGGGGAGTGCTGCTCAGAAGGAACAGGGGCTAATTTTACCAAGAACTGCCTCACTGCAGGTAAAATGAGCTTTGGGAGTTACACAAGGACTGGTTCTCAGATTTAAATAACTCTGTGGACATCCCCTCACGTCTGTACAAGTCACCATATGCTGAGGATCTCCTGTGGGTTATCTTAGGGGAAACTGGTTTTTAAGCTTTTGAACATTTTGAACACTTTTTAGGCTATTTTGGGTAATCTTAGGGGAAACTGGTTTTTAAGCTTTTGAACATTTTGAACATTTTTTAGGCTATTTTTGTGGTGTTCATTGTGACTGAGAAAGACATGAGAAGCCTTCAGTCGTGTTTATTTTCAGTCCATCAAAAGTTCTTCCCGACCAGTTTTGTCTTTTCTTTGTATCAGTTCCTTGCAACATTCCTTACTAAGGGAAGGGCTGAAAACAGATTGGAGATAAAGCTTTGAATTTTGGAAGGACAGCTGCAGGCAGAAGTATTTATAGAGGATATCAGGCAAATTCACTGAATGCCCCTGCAGCTGGATTGAGAAAAACTACAATGGAATAATGCAGAATCACAAATTGCAAATCAAATTCCCAGGATTGCCTGAGTGGGCACACAGGAGAACCAGCAGGAACAGAAATGCAAACACTTGTGATTTCACTTGCTGCTCTCCCAGGCCTTACAGATTCAAAATAACATTTTTCTGTTTCTTGCAATTGAGAATTACCTGGTTTGCAGCAACATGAATTGATTTATTTCCATAGTTCTCAGTAGTAATAATATCTGAAGTATTGTTGCCAGTCCATAGGTATATGGATGCTGTTCCATGATGGTTTTTACTCCAGATTTTGTATAATGTTCCTTTCAAAGGTGCCACTGCTTTTTCACTACAAAACTAGCAAAATCATTTTTGTTTTTAGCATCCTTTTTTTTGGTAGGGTCAATTTGTCAGTTGTAGCTCATCTATGAGTTTAGGTGTGTAGCCTTCAAATAAAACTGTTTTGTGTTGGAGGTTCTATCAGAAAACCAATCAGTGACACTTCTGTAATTGGGCTGACGGAGTGACCCAAGTGTGTCAGTGCTGAGGTCCTGCTCAGTGCAGCTGGAATTGAGTTGCCTGATGGGATCCTTTCCCTTGCACACATGCTGGAGCCCAGGTGGGAACGCTTTCCAGAGCTGCTCTTGGAAAGGTTTTCCCCAAGAATCCCTTCAGCAGTGGTGCTACTACTGAAAATGGATTTATTTGGCTGCTAGGATCTCATTTGTACGTGACCTTGAGCACCTGAGGGGTTTTGTAGAGTCTGTATTCAACCAAAATTTGTCATATTGTGGGAGTTAGAATGGGTTTGTTGCTGTTCCAAGCATGAATTTTCATTCTCCTTCCACAGGCTCTGATAGTGGCAGAGTGAGCTTCTGTATCTGTGTGTGGCAATAAGGACATGAGATTCCTGAAAGAAATAAGATCTTGGTGTTACACCAGAGAAAAACACAAACTTAGTCAAGGCTCTTGTGGCTAATTTTTATTTGTCAGTGGTGGACAGAAGAAGAAACCACAAGATGTCACTCTATCCTAAGGAGCTGAGAAGGACTTTCCTTTTGACAGGAATCCTGTGGGAGTGTTGCAAAGCTGGATATCCTGAGCAGAGCTCAGGCACAGGTAGATCTCAGCACAGTCAACGGGAGATGCTGAGTTTGGAGCATCATTAGCCCCTGTTCCTGGGATTAATAATCACAGATGGAGGGAACAAACCCCCAAACACCTGCTTTGTGTTGCAAACCTCACTCTGACCTTGGTGAGGGGTTGCTGGAGGGAGTTCATCGCTCCCAGGGGAATTTTTATCCTGCATGATGCCCCGTGTGCTTGGTGTGAAATGGCAGCAATGGGTTGTTCTTTAACCTGTCCCATGCACAGCCCCAGAGCTGTGCTGGGGTTATTTCACTGCTGCAACAGGACCCAGAAATTCTCTTCTGCAAGAGGGAAATAACTGGGATTGACTCATTGATGTGCTGTTCTCTTTTGGTTGTCTCTTAAGTTTCCCCCTTCCCTCTCTGCCTTACAGCCTCTGGAATTCCTGCCCGAGCAGATTCCCTGGCACAGTGAGGCTCCACCACTGTCAGGGCTGCTCCCTGCCTGGGGAGGAGGCAATATTGTTCCTAAAATAACAAATGGTGTTTACAAGCCCATTCTTGAGCTGTTCCTGTCCCTTTATTGGGCAATGCTTGCTTCTTGGAAAACAGGAAAGCATGGATTAGAGAGAGATGGATGAGGCAGCCCCAATCCCAGCGCAGGCAGGAGGAGAGCAGTGCCTTGCTGACTCAGATAGCAGCAGCAAGGAGCTGCCTTCCCTCCTGAGCTGCTCTGCATCCCCTGGCACAGCTGGGGGAGGGGCTCTGGGTTGATTTAGCTGGGAAAACTGTCTGGATTTCCCAAGGATCGGGGCTCCAGACAGACAGACAGACAGGCTCTGGCTGCTCGCTGGGACCTCTGGTAGCTGCTCCAGCAGCTTCTGGGGTTTCCAGCTGGGCAGGCTGAGGGCTGTGAAACCAAGTTCCACATGAGAAACCATCCTCAATGCACATGGGGGATACTTTGGAACTCATTAAGGCTCCGTGCCTGTGGCCCCCTCCACAAGGGCTTCTCAAATGACATTCCTTTCATACAGCACTGCCTTCCAACAGCGTCCACAGGAAGATGCTTTTCATTTTACAGCACTAATTAGAGGCCCAAGTCATGGGCCAGTTGCTGTGGGCATGAGGCAAGCAGAATGAAAAGCTGGGCAGAAGTGAGGGATGGCAATGCAGCTGGAACTGCAGCTTGCAGACAGCAGTCAGGGCTGGGGCTGCGAGGGACGCCAGGCAGGCAGGTCATGCAGGAAGGTGGAAAAGATAAATGTAGCAAGCAGGATGAAAAGCTGGGCAGAAGTGAGGGATGGCAATGCAGCTGGAACTGCAGCTTGCAGTCAGGGCTGGGGCTGTGAGGGATGCCAGGCAGGCAGGTCATGGAGGAAGGTGGAAAAGATAAATGTGTGAGCCCAGATACAGATATTGATTGGAAAATCCTGGGTCTGCTAGGAGCTGGCTGAGGAAAGCATTGGGATTGTTCCTGCAGCTCAGGAACTGAGCCCATTGCCTGGGTGTTTATTTTTCAGGCACACTGAACCACAATAGGAATGATGTCTCAGATATCAGCCAGGCTTTGCTGGTAACAAGGTGTTTTACTGCTCTCATAAACACACACCCTCCCTGGGGAAGAGCGATCTGTTTGGACAAACTGAGGGAAGATTCCTGCAGGAAAACTATTCTGTGTTTGTGCAGAAATGCTTTTAAGTAAGGGAAGAGATACAGAGGAAATCTGGGTTGTGTCTAAATCATGTTTGTAATGTTCTCATTAAGGGGTTGGAATTGCCTGTGGAAAAAGATGAGCTTCAACCTTTCCTTCAAGTATTCCAGTGCTACCAAAAGAGTTTGAAGCCAGTCACAGATTTTCACTCTGTTTACTCTTTGTTAAAAGTCATGTTTTGAACCAAAACTGGAATCCTTGCAGGTGGTAACTGGGTGGTAATTTTGCCTGAACAGAGTGAATGAAATATGTTAAACTTGATAAGAAGTAAAGATATCAGAAAGACTGCCCTGAGACCTTTAAGGATCATGCTCCGGGCAATGCCAAATCTCACTGGTCACTAGCAATGTGGCACAAAAAGTCTGTTTATCTGGGGCTTTTGTCACTGTATTTTGTAAACGTTTGTTTCAAAAGGCAACAGCCAAAAAGTCAGCAAAGCTTAACACAGGAATAATAACAATTCTGGAGTTTATTACAAGACAAATTCTGGTCTCAAAATTCTTTGTCTCTGCTGGGGAATGTTCTCCTTGGGCCAGCTGCAGCCTGGGGTCAGCAGTGTGCAGGGACAGGCATTTTGCAGGAGCAGGACCATGTAAAGCTCTGCTGCCAGCTCCAAGCCAGGGATGTGTCTTCATCAGCTGAGCTGCTTTTGGCAGGACACCTGGAACAAGCTCAGCTTCAGGGTCTGCTCCAACCCAAACCATTCTGAGATTCTGTGATTCTATTAAAGCCCTCAGCAAAATCCAGAGAGGTAAAAGAGGCCAGTTCTGCTGCTGCTGCCTGGTTTTCATCTGTTTGCATTGATTTTTCCTTCACAAAATTTCTCCTTGGTCTCTACAAA